TATGTTCCATTGTTGGTACTGTGTGACCCCAATAAAGAAAGTTCCCATGAACATCAAAGGTGTCTGTTTTCTTTGTCCGCAGTCTTCTGTGTCAAGGCAAAACAAGCTCGAGGCTAACAAATTATGGTCGGCTTTTGTTCCCCGACGTATGTTAAATAAACACATAATAGAAGGTCAGTAACTTGTTTTTCTTCTTCGATTTCCAATTACAGTCAAACCTCGGTTTTCAAATGTCTGTTCTCGAGCAGATCGGTTTTCGACCAGATAATTTGAGATTTTTACGCTTCGGATTACCACCGAAAACCAGTTTTCGACCAAACTGAGCAAACACGAATACACCACTTGACGCCTCTCGGCTCCCTTACACGAGGAAGTGACGCTTCCTCATGTAACGTTCATTGTGAGCAGACGTGTTTGTTGTGATTGACGCAAATCTGACTTTTTGTTATTTCTGCATAGTGTCTGAGCCCCTAATCATGGGCTAAAAAAACAGTTTTGGATTTCGAACAAATCGCTTTTTGAACAGCCTTCTGGAACGGATTATGGTCGAAAACCGAGGTATGACTGTATTTAACAAAAAACGGGAGATCGCTCATTGCCATCATGTTCAATGGAGACAGCAATGCTGCCTCCTAGCGGCCAGAGGTGGGAGAAGCCTTTCAACACGGAAATGTTGAGCAATGTGCCTATAGTGAAACTCCTCTACAACGAAATCATGTTTGCAGCAAGAAATTTCTCACAACAGGGGGTTTTTCACTGTAGCAAATTTGATCTCAGATGTAAACGCACGCGCACACACACACACATACACACACACACACACACACACGCGTATGTGTACTCTTTATTTTTATTCCAATCATGCATAAGTATGAGCATACACTTATTTGACACTTCATATAGTCAGTGTAGAAAGAAAAAAGGGAAAGAAATTGCGAAATTTACGATCAGCATTCACTTTCACTTATTCTTGGATAACGTCTTATTTTGCTTCCTCCGTCTCTCATTTTGATCACTTTTACCCTCTCTTCCAGTGTCAGAGCTCTTCTTGTATAAGCTGCTTGACGTCAAAATGTCCGTTTTGTAGCCATTTTAGCAATGCAACGTTCGTGCTCCGTCTGAAACTAACAACAAATACCATACATGTCAACCTCGGCTAATAGCTGCCCTTATAAATGATTACGATTCCCCTTACAAAGCAACAAAAACCCGTACAACGGCTTACTGCGCATGCGCACATCATGCTTTGTCAATCCGACCATACGCAGTGATGAAAAAAAATATACGATTGAGGATTACTTTTGCTGGTTTTCCATGACAATAGTAGCGATCGACGACGGCATTGTCGTTGGTTACCAGCAGGTGAGACGATCTGGATTTGAGCCAAAATGGTCTTTGTGAGATTGGTTCACAATTGTTTTTTTTTTCCCCCTATATAAAAGTTGTAATACGTCTTACATGATTTGAAATGATAAAAAAAACGTATAAAATACGGGGAAAACGTATAAGTTGACAGGTATGAAATACTTCCTGGACTACTGCGCATGTGTAAACCAGTGTGGTGGTTGCTGTTGCCATTTCCGAACGAAGCAGTAGAGGTAACTGTTGGATTAGACTTCGTTGTAGTGAATCTCGTCGCGAGGCAAGAGCAGAGAAAAAGATTTCGTATAACACAACAGCTTTTTTTTTCATTGTATGGGGGGCAGGAAAGTGGGAATGGTGTTAATGCATGAAGATTTTTTCACACTAGGGGGTATTTTCACCCATGTAGGTTTCGTTGTAGAGAAGTTTCACTGTATTTGGCTTTTTCATCGTTGTGTCAACCTCTTACTAACGGTTAGATGTTATTTCAGAATAAAATTACCTAAATTCAGCCTTTTTTGTTTGGATTAATCGTTGAAATAGTTTTAAAAAAAACAACAACAATCAAATACTCACCAAAGTAATAAAAATGGGGTTTTAACCATGTCCAGTTTAACTAAACATTGTGCAACATTTAACATTTGTATTATTTGTCTTATTGTTTATTTCCATCTTGTGGAACGATGTTGACCTGCATGTAGTTGTTTGTGTCGATTTTGGCTCTGGCTGTTGTTTCAGATGTTTGTTCAGTAACTACAAACACAAACGGTACGGAGTGATATCAGAAAGATTATTCAATTCCAGTTATTCCGTATGTATGAAAAAGAGAGTGTGTGTGGGGTGTGGGGGAGTGAATTCCAAGAGGGGATGAAGGGATGGTGTTGAAAATGGTAGGGTCTACTGTAGCACTGCTTTAATCCCATTCATTCCAACACCAGATATCAAGTGTGCCTATTTTCACCTCCTTTCGTCCAAGGTGACATGGAAGCCTTTAAAAGTGTCCAGATTGTTTTTATCCTTCCCATTGAGCTACAGCCAAGCTCCTTCCGTTGAACTTGGGTTTCTCCGACTCAGCAGGTGTTAGGGAACAAGTCTCAGCTAAAAGCAGCAACAGCAACCCTGTGTTTGATGTAGCTTGCTAGGAAACTGACTAAACAAACTGTATTAATAGCTCACGCTGCCTCCATGACGTTGGAATTGGAGGCTTGAATTGCTAGAGGGTAGGGGGAGACCCCCACAAACAGAAAAGAATAAGAACGTAAGTTGGCTATTGGTCCACAGTGGGATCCTGAGGTGCTGTTAATGTGGGTTATGACCTTCTAAGCTGGGCCCCCTACATGTATTTATGTAAGCAAATGGACCTGTGATTTGGACAACGGAACAAATGAAATCCAATACCCACCACTGGTCTAAAAGCTATATTCATGCCATGCGACCACACCGTGCAGGACAATGCATGAAGGACAGAGGTTATTTTTCAGAGAAAGAATACAATTCAAGCTGCAATGAAGAGGCCCTTGAACCCCCTTTTTCGTGGGAAGTCCCTAAAATGCTCATCAAACTTGGGTACCATGCTCCAGCTAAATAAAACACAAACACAGGATAACAAGATACACTTGTTTGAATGTGAATTTTGGGCCATGTTGGGAGCCACAAAAAGGCCATTCATCCATCGGATGAAGAATAACTAAAGCGATGATGAAAGGCTCCTCGCATCCCTTTTATCATGGTAAATACTGACAAGACCATTAAAGTTCAGTCAGGGAACTTTGATGCAAAGTGCTTCCCCCATTAGATAACATACATATTCCGAAGAAATACACACTTGCAGAAACTGACGAGTTTATGGACATTTTGAAGCCCCAAAAAGTCGCAAGGATGATAATAATAAACAGCCGCTCAGGGCTGATGTTCCAACGCCAAAAGGTGATAAAGTAAACAAGCAATATGGTGCCAGTGTGCTGGTGCCACATTTATGTGACTTAACATGTCCAATTTGTGGCCAGTGAGTATATTACGCCTGCTCGTGTCTCTCGCTTTGGAATCGTAAAGTGTGCCAAAAACGTGACCTACATTCCTACCGAAGGCGTTGACAAGCACATGTTTGACTCCTGAGGCTTTCAGCAGCTTAGGTATCAATACTAAACATATCATCATTACTGGAGCCTGTTGCAGAGCCACAAGTATACGATACCGCGACTGAACAGAAAACACTTTTGTGACGTCCAATACGCTAAGGAGAAAGTATCGTGCACAGCAATAACATAACCGCGACAAGAGTTTGCCGTATTCTACTATATCGTTTTTAGCCTCCATCAATTTCAGGCAAACTTGCCCCGCCTTTTACCGTAATACGGCAGCCAATTCGCTTCTTTGATTGGCTTGCGTGCACGTCAATCAATAACATGTGAGGCAATCAAAGCCACCGAGGCTGTCACTTGGCTCGTCTAGCAGACGCTCATTGGCTAAAAGCTCCGAAATCACTTTTTGTACCCACGAGACGAAAAAAAAAAGGTAAAGAAAAAAAAAAGAAACAACTAATGGCTAACTGCTGTGCTAGCGTTTAACAACGGGCCAAAAGCACACTCGGCGGCGTTACTAACGCCATTATTGACAGTTTCCGACATGACAACACTGTCAAATAAACGCTAATGCACACGTAGCCGACTTGAGCCGAAGCGCGCGACACACTTTACGGGCCGTCAAACTGATAAAAGTCGGGGAAAATAAACTATCAGTTGCCTTGTTAGCAGACTGACACTTGGGAGTTCAAAGCGAATCCGAATGAAAGGTTGGAGCAGCCCTAACACTTGTCGTGCATTTTAAAAACAACAACACAGCTTGAAAAGGAGCGTGCGAAAAGCTAATTCATTAACGGCTAACGCCAGGGACACATTCACGTAGTACTTAAATGGTAATAAAGTGTTTACGAACTCACTCTTGTGCCTCTGTCTCTGGCTCTCCTTTCCTTTCCCCTGGAATTTGACACTCCCCTCGACGTCGACCTATCGCGAGAACTGAAGTCCTTCACGATGCGGTCATGAGCGCTCTATTTTTTTTAACATAAAAAGTGTCCCCTCTCTCCAAAATACAACAAAATGTGCATCCAATCTAAGCAAGAGGAAAAAGCGATAGAGATTTAAAAAGATGGTGCCTGTTGATCCCTGGCAAGTAGACAATAATACGGTCTAATTTTGCCACAACAGTAGCCTTTTAACTAGTGCAAAGGGAAATAAGCATGATGACAAAATTGACTCATATCATCTTGATGAAGTAGAAGTGTATTACTTCAGTAGAGGACGTAATTGTGATAGGCTGAAGGTGATCATGTTCGATTTATAAAACAAAAAGTGGGAAAACTCAGCTCTCAGCTTTTTCCATTTGTCTTTTTCCATTTGGTATACATTTATCTAGTCATGATCTTCAAACATGGCTTTGATTAAAATATTTCAAAATACCAGCGTGAGCTTTTAATACCGAGCTGTTTGAATTGCTTTCTTTTTCATCACAGACTAGGCTATTGATAATTGTGAATAACATTTTGTATTGCGGTTTTTTTGATACAAGGTGTTGATCCAGGTGCGGTTGGGAAGAAGAGAATACGATCAAAGGCAGACAACGAGCATACTTGGAGTTACCTGAAGAGTGTGCGTCCTAACAAGCGAATTGAATACACAGTAGGGTGGAAGAATCGGATCTGTGAATTACTACCATGAATAATTGCGGTCTTCCAAGTTGTGTTCAACCTTTAGTCACTGTGTGACGCTGACTCCGCTGTTGCGGCTGCTGGGGAGCGATTGTGACGTTTGCGGCACTGCGCTCTTTTGATCTGCTCCATTATGGCACTTAGCGATCGCATAAAATAAACTAAATATCCGAAGAAAAGAGGACATTCAAAGAGGGAGGAATGAGGCCAATAATCGTCTCTCGTGAAACGCTACTTCAGGAAGAGAAAGTCAGCTGCACTGCACAGGCTTTTTATGAGTAACGTTAAAAGGCTTCAAGGAGATTCGAGAAGCGATTGGATGTGCGCGCGCGCCCATTTAGTGACTTAAATTTACGTGATGATGTAAGCCTTACATCATTACATCTCATTCTTCTTACGGGTTATAAAATTCCACATCAAGGCACCCCTTTAAAAAAGACGGTGATATTATTACATATATAATACATTATATTATACCTAAATTTTTCTGACATTGTCTTTCAAACCCGAGACCGTAACTAAGCGAAAATGGACTGCAAAACCAGTTGACTACAAGGTTGAATTATTCAACCCTATTTAGCTAGTTAAGAGTGAATAAAGTGAAACGTTGAGCACCTTCCTCTAAGTGCAACTTAAACGACGTATCTGATTGTTCCTTTTGATCATCGTTAACTCTTGACAGTCTTCGAAACGAGGCCGTTTGCTTTTAAGTAATTGTGTAATGTGGATCGCTGATGTGATTTATTTAAATGACAAGTTGATGATGAATATTGAAGAACTACGCAGAAACAAGTCATTACTGTCATGAAGGTTACCCACCCCCTTCAAAAAAAGCAGCACTTTTGCAGGCGTAAACGAGATGCGACTTTAACATGATTATATATCTGCAGCACCACAACACAAAATCATCCATTTTCAACTTAGATAGTACAAAGCATATTGTGTAAATCTTAAAAACATTAGTAAATTAAAGTTCTTGCCTTGATAAATTAAAGACAGGCTTAAAAAACATCAAGTGGGGATGTTAGCGAACGGTGAGTAAATTAAACCATTCGCTTCTCATCGGCAGCTTGCTTGACATTTGATTGAATTGCACACAGAACAGCAGGCAAGATGTCATCACGTTATAGGGCGAAACTTGTGTGCCCAATGAATTTCACAAAGTTCGAAAATGACACATACACTGTTCCCATCATTTGTTACCTCAGTAGTGTAAAAGACGGTAACATTCGATGATCCCTGGGACAACATTAAACAAGACCCCTCATCCTCATACCGTGCATTGAAGATCACTGTGACAGACTTTTCAAGTGCTCGGAATACAAAAGGTGCATACATGAATTATAATATGAATGTACGTATGGTGCGGTTGTACACTCGTGTGCCGTTCTGAAAGACACTTCCCTCTACTTCTGGTGACAATCCATCAAAAGAGACTTCACATGTCAAATGCCGGCGTCCTGCCCCTTTCCTACTGTACCTACGACGCCCTCTTGTATCGGATTATCTGCAGTTCCGTCGTAGTTCCAATGGCAAATCGATATCCCATCAGTCGATATTGGAACATGCTAAATGTTAAACACATGAAAATCTCGTTTTACTTCACTGTTGTTAGCAACAGGAATTATATGCTCCCGTTTAGTGAAGTGTAGTAAGTAGTGAAGTAGTGAAGGTATAAGAACCACATTTATCAAAAATATATCAATTTGTTTTAGTGATATGATTTGAAATATTTTTTTTAATTCTGGTAAGGTTACAAATTTATTCTGATGAGTGTGATTTCCCTGACCAATTTTAATGTAGCCTTGCTTTACAGAAGTGTTCAAGATCCAAATCCAGGCACTCTCCCATGATCGATGTACATTCATTCTAAAATGTTACATGTATACTGTATAATACTTTGCTAAGTATAAAAAAAAAACTATTGTGTTAAATCAGTTCAATACCTGTCATCTGAGTTTAGCTTTTTCCTCCTATAAGAAACATTTGACACATCTGCCCTTGTAGATATTTTTTTTTCCAAGATACCGATTACAGCTGGATCATAAAACGAGAGTAGTGTAAGTGAGTTACTTTAGCTAGCATCTCCCGGACTGAGACCATCAGTGCAGCGCAGTTTTCGACTGAGGCAATCCAGTAGTGCACAGTGGAAAAGGGACATGAGAGGCTGTCGTGGTTATTTGAGGAGAGGAGAAAAACTCTGCCATCACCTGACACTGTCTTAGTCTCTGAGGAGGAGATATTCCTTGATGGTCTCTGGTAGAGGAAGCTCTTTGACTGCTGTGGGCAGGAACCGCACGCCAAGACTTTGCCTAATGACACAACGCGCGAGAGAACGCAGTGTAGGTGCTTTGGCCGCCATGCCGGTGAGCCTGGCAAGCAGCTGAGGATCCTTACTGAGCTCCTTGGGAAGCGTTCCGTCGGCCCGGCGGATCTCAAAACGCCCGGCTGCTCGGCACAACAGTTCCAGGCACTCCTCCTCCTGCTCGGTGCCCAGGCCGCGTGCCAAGAGTGCCACCAGTCGGGAGATGGGTGTCTGGCCCTTCAAGTTGGTCACGTGCACCTGTGCGCCATAGTCCAAAAGCACTTTGACGCTTTCCAGGTTCCCTTTCATGGCTGCCCAGCTCAGCGGCGTGTCACTATTGTAGTCGCGGGCGTTGGGGCAAGCCCCGCTGTCGAGCAGCGCTCGCACACACTCGGGGTTGTCTTTGAAGGCGGCCCAGTGGAGCGGAGTGTCCTTGTTGCCATCCAGAGCGTTGGGCTGGGCCCCGTACTCCAGCAGGACCTCCACACAGCTCTCGTCCTTCTCTGCTGCATAGTGGAGCGCCGTGCGGTTATATCCATCCAAAGCGTTCACCTGACAAGATGTAGAGGTTACGCCAGGGCAGCATTTTACAACGCAAAATCCAAATGTATCAGGGTTTTATATACAGTGGCTTGCGAAAGTATTTGGCCCTCTTGAATGTTTTGATCTTTTGCCTCATTTCAGGTTTCAAACAAAAAGATATAAAATTATATGGGGGGGGGTTAAAATTGAACAATAAGATGGATTGTGAAATTGAACAAAATTCAAACAATATTTTGAACTTCTTTTTTAAATACAAAAAATGAAAAATGATTTAACCCTCCTGAGTTAATTATACTAACCCAATTCCAATAAAGTTGGTATGGTGTGTTAAACATAAATAAGGCAGAATACAATAATTTTTTAATCATGTTTAAGCTATATTTAATTGAATACACTACAAAGACAAGATATTTAAGGTTCAAAGAGATCAACTTTATTGTTTTTGCGCAAAGTATTGACCAAATATCGATTTTATTATTTATATAAATTTTAACGCTTCATGCATATACAGTGGACCGGCCTAGTCGCTATCTACCACGAATAGTCAAGAGTGTGACTGATGGCCATTGAAATGCAATGACATTTGTTTTAAACCCCCCAAAGTGTTGTTGATTTAAAAAAAAAAAAGAATCCACAAGAAATGCATGCGGGAGAAAACAAAAACAACAAAAAAAAGAAACAAAAATGTAAAATAATATTGGAAAAAAAAAACATCTCCAAATATGGGAGTCTGTGGCTGCCAAACAGCGAGTATTTCGGGCTTCCACTGTAATACCAAAATGTATTGCTGGCCGCAGGCAGATTTCTCAAAGCTCCAAAAGCATCACTTTTTTGGAAACCCCGCAAAACATGTTTGTTCAATCATGAACATTGCATCATCAAGAGAGCAAGCCATTTTCAACACCTTTAATAGGTCAAAAATTTGTAAAAACAAGAGAACCACGTCAACTGTGAAAATATAAGGAATTGGCCACATTTGGACAGAGATTTCAGCCTGATGACAGCGTTGCATGTATTATTTTGTCCACTTGGGGTTGCTCTCTTCACATTCCATAGCACTATAGTGTACTGTATGTGTTTAATTGTGACCGAAAAATGTGAGCCTTTAAAAGGCCTGGTGGCTTGTTGAAGGAAGTTGGATTCAAAGAATGAGTGTGTACACTTAGTTGGTACTAGCAGTATTTAGGCTGTACTACATTAAGTAATGATGTTTACATTGCCCAGACATGCAGTTGAGAGCCACTTCTTGCTTGGCTCTCGACGAAGGCGGACGCTTTTGGTCTCTCGATGCCATCGACAAAATTTTCTCGATGAGAAGAGCAGGCAGTGGGAAGCCTACTTGCCCCTCGGGGACTTTTGCTGCTGGGTACACCCTAGATCCTTGGAGGAAGCGGAGAATGGTGTGCCTGTCAACAATGTCCGTTGAGGATGTGGATGACATCTACATTATCGGCCTTCCGATAACAGGTATGCTGCTGTTTGGTGTTAGCAGTTTCCTTATCTATCGCAAAATTCAACCGACGGGAGCGGCTCTATAGGAAGTGAAGAGGCTGCTGGTCTAAGAATGGCATAGTGAGGATGTCCAACACTCAAACTCAGACTGTGCTCAACCACAAACTGTTGCGGTTTTGGAGCGTCTCTGCAAGATGGTCAAGAACTTGGAGAAACTGGAATCCGTGCTCAAATATTGACAGAAATCACGGATTTGGCTGATCGACGCCACTAAAGAGACATAAGCCACGGACTCAAGGCTGTCTTAAATTCTTGGGCAGCCTGCTACCAAAACAACATCTGCTATCTCGACCTTCCCCTGATGAAAGTATGCACGGAAGCTAGTCCCCCACCATCACCCCCTCCTTCATACACTCCCTTGTATCACCGTCTTCATTGTTTATGTCTTGTGACCTGTTGTAACTGTCATATGCTTGTGCAGGAGTTTTTTGCCTAACTCAAATTATCCTCAAAATGAGGATAGTTCGAGCGTGGTTTTTTTTCTCCCCCTCTCCCTCCCTTGTGGTTTCTTTCTGACTTCCGGGTTGACTGAACGCTGGCGCGTTTTGGCTGCCGCTGCTCAACCCGCATTGTTCTGTGTTTTTTGTTATTGTAAAGTGTCCTTGGGTGTCTTGAAAGGCGCTTATAAATAAAATGTATTATTATTATTATTATTATTATAGTTGTGTACCTTGAAGGGATCATCTGGCCAGGACGGCTCATTTTTCACTCAAATACTCTATTATTTTTTTGATTAAGAAAATTTTATTAGCTTGTATTTTCAATGTTATCCATATTTTTTGGAGAAATCAGTCAATAACTAACTACTGTCAAAACCTCCCACCCCTTGCGGTCGACTTGGGACCAGTCCTTGACATCAGAGGTAATTCGCTGATTAGCTTAGCGTTTAGCGCCATTGTTTGTGCGTGGGCGGTGATTCAGTCATCTGATTGGTTGCCCTCTATGTCAATCAAGTAACGGGATTGATGATAGGCTGATGTAGTACGTTCTGTGTATTTAGCGCCGTTGTTTGAATGGCATTGCCACCGGCGAGGCGTTTGACGCTTGTCATGTGAAAGCCCGGGAGCCACATTGAACCAGCCAAAGAGCCGCATGCGGCTCGCGAGCCGCGGGTAAGCCACCCCTGATTTAGAGCATGCTATTTCAACACTAACACTTGCCCAAAACAAGGAATCACAACACAAAGAGAAAAACAAAGAAGAATGTAATATCCATCCAACACGCGCGCCTCGCGTTGTGAATGGCAGGAGACCATGAACAATCACAGTGGATATTGATCAGGGGTGTCCAAACTCAGTCCTCAAGGGCCGCTGTCCTGCCTGTTTTCAATCTCTCCGCACTGCAACACACCTGATTCAGATTATCAGGATCGTTATCTTGGTTCTTCAGAGCTTACAGATGAGCCGATTGATCCTTTGAATCAGGTGTGTTGCAGCCGGGAAAGATGGAAAAAGGGCAGGACATTGGCGCTTGAGGACCGAGTGAGGATACCACTGATCTAGATTCTTAATGCAGCCGTTCATTTCACAGAAACACAAAACCTTCTCTGTAAGTCAGAGGTTACAATATTTCGGAACTAGAATTTCATGCCACAGATTCTTGTAGAAGACACAGTTCGGTATTTGGCCTAACCAATACCCAAGTTTTAGTTTGCACTTTAGCAAAAGACACTAATACCTTTTTGTCTGGATACGTTGGTAAAACTTTTCCAAGCAATCAAGAACTGCGTGGGGCTGTATGAGCTGCAATAAGCACAATCTCTCACGACACGACATTCCATCTCGCCTTTCATAATTTTTGACATTCCTGTAGCAAAAGTTAGGGATTTTCTCTTAGCCATCACCTCAAATAAGGCCAGAGCTGTACCGCATCTGCCGCCATCCTCGCTTGATGTCTCTGTTCTCCTTTTGAAACAGTCCAGGTGGTAGGGCGGGGTTTGCTTTCATTGTGAGCAAATTATTGGAGCCGAGAGCTTCAAGATCATTGGGATCTTCAGATCACTTTTTATTATGCGGGATTTATCATGGTGAAAAACACCTCTAACGCAACTTGACCATTTGCTGCTTTTCACCAGCTCATTGTGAAACTTCGTCATCCTTATTAATCTGGAGGGACTTGTGCTTTTAGGCATGCCACTGCCAAACGCTTGTGTCATTGTCCTTATCACCTCTTTTGACATCTCATTATCATCTGTGGTTTTTTCATTCAAATTGTGGTTTGTCTTGCTCCTTCAGCAACTCTGCCAGTCTTGCTCCAGATGTCCTATTAACGCCGATCATCACCGTATTCTTTAGAGGGGCCATTAACACAGTAACTCACCCCAACAGGGTCTTAATGGCATATGGGCCGTTCCCATGACTGTTCATTACTTCCCTGGAGCAACTTGGATGCATTGGTTCCCATCAAGAACTCCACGCCTGCTTGGATGCAGGGAACATCAACAGTATTCAAATGTGGGCACATGGCTAATTTCTTGCTTCTATGCCCAATGAGAAGGCAGTCAAAGCAGACGGCCATAGTTTTTCCTTTGGAAAGTTTATCTTGTGTTTCTGTGTTTTCTCCTCAAACATTGCACCCTTCTCCAATGGGTGACCTTGATCACAGTAAACACACATGCTGATGATATTTGCAGGTGAAATTCTAGGCCGTTTGAACTTGGGGAGGATATCTTAATTTCCTTTGATGCAGCCGTTTCAACGGTGGTCACGATAGATTGCAAAACCGTCTCTTGAAAGCTTGACTTCAACTCACATTTTGTTGTGTTAACATGTATTTAATTACCGTGGTGAGTGGGGTATTCTTGAATGTCGCCAAAAATTGGATCAGATCCGATTGTGACCCGTTGTTCAATCAATGTGACAATAATCAAACTCTGCATTTTCCCTCCAGCTTGTACAGAAGCTTTAGAATGACCATTTTCATATTTGCCGGCATATTCAATCCTGTCATGTATTGTGCATCGTGAAATGCACTGCATTACAACATCCATCCATCATCTGAGCCGCTTAGCCTCACGAGGGTCGCGGCCGTGCTGGAGCCAATCCCAGCTATCTTAGGGCAGTAGGCGGGGAACACCCTGAACTGGTTGCTAGCCAATCTGCAGGGCACACATAAGTGATCTGGTGTTCATTTCCAAAGTCCTCTTGTAAAAGCTGTTCAGCTGCAGTCTAACCTCTGTCTGGCGCCATATGCTGACAGCGAAGTATGAACACCTCTGGTTGCCTCTGGTGTACTTGTCGAGAAAATATAAACAGTCCCCTCTTCTGCTTGGCACTGCGCTCTCCATAATGTTCAAGGGCTCTGACAAATGTCGTTTATTGAAGTGGGTCCCCATCAAAATATGGGATTTGCCTTGGTGGTAGGAAATGGGCCGATTGTTGTCATCTTAACAATGTTGATATTTCATTTTGCCATTGTAGTAGCTCACAAGTGCTGATGTTGCATCATTTCCTCGTAAAGGTGGGTGAGACTGCATTTGGATTTTTTGGTTGAGGGCTGAAAAGAGGTGGGGTTATTGATTGTCCATGGCTTGCTCAACTCAGCTGACTCTCCAGACTGTTACTTTGTAGGGGCAATATCTACATTTTGATTTATAAAGAGCTATATTTGTGGGCCCACAAGTCTGGGTTGATATTCCTTTCCCTTTGGCATAAGAGTTCCTTTTTCATGTTTGTTGAAAGTGGAGGTATCATTTCTTTTTGCTCTTTTCTCTATTTCAAAATAGGATTGCAGTCCATCATCTTGAATCTTTGGGAAAGCTTGAAAATCGAAGTGGTAGGAACCACAAGCTCGGCAGTAGTAGCAACCAATTCAGTTTCGAGTGTGTCTTTTCTTCATCTCAGTTCCTCTGTTTGTTCCTCCAGAGTGCGTTTGGCCTTCAATGCTGCTCTAAAAACTTCAAGTGCAGCTTTCTTTGCCTGAGCCTGAATGTGTGCTGCTGCTGCTGATGATCATTTTCCACCTCTTGGGCTGGCATCACTTGCCAAGCTTGATTGTTTTGGGGTGTGGCCAAGGCTCAGTCGTCCGGTACCTGCGCGGTTCGACTGTTCCATTCCCGCTCTGTTTGAATCATGTGTTGCTTTGTCTTTGGGCACTTCACACACCTTGCCTACAGCATCACTCACCCTGGTGTACGGCTGGGTGTGGATGTTTGATGGTGGCCAGAAGGGGGGTGAGCGCACACTGGCAGCCATACATCTGTCAGCCTACCCCATGGAAGCTGTGGCTACAGACTGCAAAAACCCAATTCCATTGAAATTGGGGCATTGTGTTAAACAAATAAAAACAGAATACAATGATTTGCAAATCATGCTCACCCTATATTTAACTGACTACACTAAAAGATATTTAATGTTCAAACTGATGAACTTAATTGTTTTTAGAAAATAAACAATTTAGAAATTTATGGCCGCAACACATTCCAACAAAGCGGGAACAGGGTCATTCTTAACACTGTGTTACATCACCTTTTCTTTTAAAAACATTCAAGAAACGTTTGTGAACTGAGGACACTCAATGTTGAAGCTATGTAGGTGGAATTATTTCCCATTCTTGTTTGATGTACAGTTTCAACAGGCTGGGGTGTCCGTTGAGCCACACATTTTCAATGGGAGACAAGACTGGACTGCAGGCAGGCCAGTCTAATACCTGCAATCTTTTAATAAGAAGACACACTGTTGTTTGGCATTGTCTTGTGGAAATCAGCAGAAGGGTGTCCATGAAAAAGACGTTTATCAGTTTGAACATTAAATATATATTGTCTTTGTTGCGTGTTCACTTAAATATAATTTGAACATGATTTGCAAATCATTGTCTTCTGTCTTTATTTACTGTATTGTTTAAGACAGGGGTGCCCAAACTTTTTTGACCGAAGATCTACTTTTCAATCAACCAACCTCCCGAGATTGACCCATTACCGCACGCGCGCACGTGCATGTACACATGCATGCCATGATGAGCAATAGCCTGACACGGAGGCATGTGACGCACTTAGGTGGCCTGTTAACGATCGTAGCTCACGCATACCATTTTAAAATGCTTCTCTCGGCCCTCCAGATTCCCATTCTTTGCCCATCCCCTCGGTGAATTGTACAAAACTAACTCTGAATGAGAATAATGATAACGCTAAAAGATATAGCGCAACAACTCGGATCGCAAGCTGCAACTGCAGACTCCTGAGCGCTAACAACTTCCGGTGACGCAGTCACACGTCACCGTAGGTTAAAGATGACCTCTGCTTTATTTTCTTTTCTTTTTAAAATACTTTTTGTGAAAGTGAGACTGATAGAATGATTAGGGTGCAGTGTGCATTAACACAAAAAATATATTACTAACATGCACAGAGACACAAATGTTTTTTTTTCCCTCTCCACCTCGGATCGACTTGGTACGAGTCCTTGATCTACTGGTCGATCGCGATCGACATAATGGGCACCTCTGGTTTAACACAACGTCCCAATTCCATTGGAATAGGGTTTGTGCCATCTTTACATTATGTAATTCACTACGTTACCTGTAGTTTAGATTTGCAGTGAGTGTTTTCTGTTTATTTGTGCTGTTTGGGCAGATACGAGTGCAGTGGTTCTTAACCTGGGTTCGATCGAACCCTAGGGGTTCGGTGAATTAGTCTCATCTGTTCGACGGAGCCTCTGCCATGGAGGTTAAGACACACCCGACTCAACATGTCAATTAGTTTTGACATGCCCACTTGGCCATCACTACCTGGTTCATTTTGTGCACAATTAAAAAACCATATACAGTACTAATTGTGTTTACTTTTTTTCTGTTTTTAATAAATGCGTTTTTTTATGTCCTGAATTTGGAAAAAAAAACATTTTTATTTTTCACTAATGAAGGGTTTGGTGAATATGCATATGAACTGGTTGGGTTCGGTACCTCTAACAAGGCTAAGAACCACTGTGCTAGTGTGTAAATGTCACCAATCAGTATTTCAATTTTGTCAAGCTGACAATGATGAAGTATCTCATCAGTGTGTTTAGGCTGCACTTCCTTTGGCATGTATCCAATACACAGATGATTTTTATCCACAATTGCAATAGTGATCTGACGGGAACTGCATATCCCAACTGTGCCACAAAAAAAATCTTTTGTCAACCATTTAAGAAGGCATAATAGGTAAAAGTGATTTTAAGTTGCTTTTATAAAAATAGTTGGGTCTTGAGAGTGCCTGCCCACTCATCATGGTGTGACGCATACCTCTGCCCCTTTCTCCAGTAGTAGCTCCACACAGTCGGCATCAGCAACCATGCAGGCACAGTGAAGGGGCTTCAGTGTGCCGTGCATGCGGTTCACATCAGCGCCCTTAATGTGACATATTAACAAGATCCATCAACACAAAAAGTGGATAAACATACTTTAGAAAGATAACTGAACAAAAGAGGTCACCTTGCGAATGAGATCCTCGACGTTGTCGTGCGGGAAGGAGCGGATGGCGGCGATGGTGCGGATGAGCCGCTCGGACAGGGAGTATTTACTTTGAATGCTTTGCATAATGTACCACATAGTAGAGCTCATGTGTTACTGAAGACCATGGCACCCATACAGGGGTGACCCTATGGCACATCACATACATGGTTTTAAGCATTAAAGGGGACAAAACAGTGAAAGACATCATGGGCACCTCTGGTTTAACACAACGTCCCAATTCCATTGGAATAGGGTTTGTGCCATCTTTACATTATGTAATTCACTACGTTACCTGTAGTTTAGATTTGCAGTGAGTGTTTTCTGTTTATTTGTGCTGTTTGGGCAGATACGAGTGCAGTGGTTCTTAACCTGGGTTCGATCGAACCCTAGGGGTTCGGTGAATTAGTCTCATCTGTTCGACGGAGCCTCTGCCATGGAGGTTAAGACACACCCGACTCAACATGTCAATTAGTTTTGACATGCCCACTTGGCCATCACTACCTGGTTCATTTTGTGCACAATTAAAAAACCATATACAGTACTAATTGTGTTTACTTTTTTTCTGTTTTTAATAAATGCGTTTTTTTATGTCCTGAATTTGGAAAAAAAAACATTTTTATTTTTCACTAATGAAGGGTTTGGTGAATATGCATATGAACTGGTTGGGTTCGGTACCTCTAACAAGGCTAAGAACCACTGTGCTAGTGTGTAAATGTCACCAATCAGTATTTCAATTTTGTCAAGCTGACAATGATGAAGTATCTCATCAGTGTGTTTAGGCTGCACTTCCTTTGGCATGTATCCAATACACAGATGATTTTTATCCACAATTGCAATAGTGATCTGACGGGAACTGCATATCCCAACTGTGCCACAAAAAAAATCTTTTGTCAACCATTTAAGAAGGCATAATAGGTAAAAGTGATTTTAAGTTGCTTTTATAAAAATAGTTGGGTCTTGAGAGTGCCTGCCCACTCATCATGGTGTGACGCATACCTCTGCCCCTTTCTCCAGTAGTAGCTCCACACAGTCGGCATCAGCAACCATGCAGGCACAGTGAAGGGGCTTCAGTGTGCCGTGCATGCGGTTCACATCAGCGCCCTTAATGTGACATATTAACAAGATCCATCAACACAAAAAGTGGATAAACATACTTTAGAAAGATAACTGAACAAAAGAGGTCACCTTGCGAATGAGATCCTCGACGTTGTCGTGCGGGAAGGAGCGGATGGCGGCGATGGTGCGGATGAGCCGCTCGGACAGGGAGTATTTACTTTGAATGCTTTGCATAATGTACCACATAGTAGAGCTCATGTGTTACTGAAGACCATGGCACCCATACAGGGGTGACCCTATGGCACATCACATACATGGTTTTAAGCATTAAAGGGGACAAAACAGTGAAAGACATCAGCAAACGTTGCATGACTTCTGCTCCGCGTTCATCTAAGACAAGGTGGGGAAAACTTTGGTACTTAATAATGGGCATGTTTGGTTTATTTATTTGTTTATTTTTTAAACAGACACATGGGCCAGGTCGAATTGTAAAATAAATAAATGTCATTGTAAAATCATCCAATCTCAGAATATTTAAATTATTTAGCATTATAACTCATTATTTATGCTTCATGAAATAATGACCCAAGCAGGTAACATGCAAAAAAAGCCCTAAATGTGACATTAGAAGCGATGTAAATACATAATCCGCAACGTTAGCTTTACTCCCGTTCCAATGCCAAACAAGATATTGTTGATAACGATGGACACGTTACACCCAGGGACGAGGTTTGACAGCCAAACACCGTGTAAGAAAGCACAAACTGACGGTCTCATTTCGAAAACATTCTCGGCTATTTTTGCACCACTGTCTACAGTGCTCCTACAGATAGCAAGCTCGCTAGCTAGCGAACGCCACTAGCATCGAGAATCGGACACGGGAGGCACATAAAACACAAACGACATGAATTGTAAGCACTTGGCGATGAACCTTCCTTGGACCATCGACAAGTGGACGGTCAAATGCGAAGACATACCGTTTGTGATGAGCAAACTGACGCGTTTGACAGCCTGCCTGTTTGGTGGGACCGTTTATTTGCTACTCGGTTTGACAGACACAAAAACATGACGTTATCGTCACGTGTGACCACGCCCCATGTTCCGAGACCGCTGCACTCGTGCATACCACAGTTTGAGAAGTCCGGAACACTTGCAAAAAAAAAACACTTTTCATCATATTTGCTAAAACCGTCAGTATGACCCGGCAGTAGTCTATCGGTAAAATGATTTTGCCTCATCTTGTGCCACAAGTGATGAGTGTGTCATGTCTGGACTGACACAATCGGGTCTGGCATTTTGACTTTGACTGGAAGCGCCCGCCAGAGCACCGCGTACATCTGCACTACGTGTGATGCGGGTTGCACCAATGTTAATTTCAATATTTGTTGTAAAGGTAGGACCACATAGGGGTTGGTGCCAATGGAAGCTCTGTCGTGTAGGGGTTTCATGAAGACGTCTTCTAAAGATGACGTCACGTCATTTACGCGTGTCTCAAATGTACCGTCTGTCGTTCAGTTTTCCTATCACCAATTAAAGTCAAATATCCAGACTGATGCGCTTCACAGTGTTGAAGATGCAAAGACGAGCGGAATTGGTCTGTGCCAAGTGCATTTCCCTCGCTGTCACCACCCCAATTGCTCACAGCGCACACTTGCAATGACCGTCGTAAATATGTTTTTAAACAAACCGTTGACATTTGCTGATGCATTACGTTGAATGCGAAAAAAATTGAACACCAATAAAACGTTTTTATATATATATATATATATGTCAAGTGTCCGAATGCATTTGAGAAAGGTTTAGTTCGGTGTAGTAACGAGTGGCGTTCCGGCAGGGCCTCCTCTACAGGTGCAGACAATATCAGAAACACAGAATCTACATTTGCAACTTAAATGAAGTGGAAATAATTTATTTCCAATGGTCTTTTGTCTTCATTCCAGTGCGTCTGTCTTGACCTCGAGTGGCGACGTCGACGACACACACACACACACGCACACACACACACGCACGCACACGCACGCACACACGCACGCACGCACGCACGCACGCACGCGCGCGCGCGCGCGCGCGCACGGACAGACACCGCTGAAATCGCTGGTTCTTTTAGCCAATCAGATTGTTAATTGACCTTGGGGAAAGCCATTCCGCAGGCCCAGTGACGAATGAGTTTCTCCATCCTCTCTGGTTCACAGCAACTGTGCGGTCAAAACGTATTGAAAATTCACTTTCAAGGCGTACTTTTCAAGAAAATAAATGATTTTATGTGGGTATTTCAACTAACATTGCTTTGCAGGGTGCTGTTTTCAATGCGGATTTTTTTTTGGGGGGGGGGGGGCAAATTCAGAGAAATTTAGAGTACTACACAGACAGGTCCGAGCTTCTGCATGAAGTATCGCTGGTGAGTACAATGTTATTTAGTTTTCATATTGATCAAAATTGTTAAGTACAGTACTATGTTGTACTGTACATGTTTGGAGTTCTTGAGGTGATGGATTTTTTTTTTCTTTTGTTAATATGCTCAAATACATGAAATGCTCTTTAATGCCACACATTGGCCTCTTTGGTACTGATGCGTGGGAGTGAGAGTGCTTGGAAGGGAGACTCCATAGACAATCATCTGTGAATCTGCAAGTGTTATTAGGAACAGTGTAGTAACACGCTCTGCAGTTACAGGATGACACTTGAGAAGCGATGGGTCGATGCATTTAAGAACTTTTCCCCAAAAGTACCATTCAATGAAGCGTGAGCTCTTCCTCTCCATCACAAAAAAAGCGAATTTGATATAGTTTGAGCGATATTTCCTCACCTCATAAACCAGGTTTATGCAGTTTGCTGCTGCTAATGTGGCCTTCATTGCACAAAATGAATGAAAATGTTACTGCCCTGTGATTTTTTTTTTTTTAATCAAATAGAAATAACAGTGTGTTGTATATAAAAACCAGCATAAAACAAAGTTTCAACAAATTGTTTTTGAAAGAGTAATTAAGCAAAACACACACACTCGCACACACACACCATTCACACTTTGGATGGGTACACTTAAGGGGCGTAGCCTAGTGAGTGATGTAGTCGTGATGATTATAATTGGTTTCGAGGTTGTCCAGCTTTCATTCTCGCCATGATCTGAGCTTTCAGGTCAATTGCTGCCTCGCTCAGCATTGCATTCATTGGGGCTTGCCTCCCAATCTCTGGTATGACCTCCTCATCTGATCTGGCAGCCTGGGGCCCTTCACCATGGAATCTGCGTTGTACCTTATCAATCTCAAGTTGTGACAGCAATTGCCGTTTGTGGATGTTGGAACACTGAGCTACAAGTTGTTTCGTGGTCAACCGTGACTGTGGGTTTCGAAGTGACCATTCAGCCCGCATTCTCTGCATGTAACCCCTCTGACTAGGGTTGCTTGAGTAGTAGCATTCCAACAGAGCCATGTTATCGCATCTCGCCCATCTCCGCTTTGTTCCAGTAGCCCATTTTTCATCAAGGTGCTCTGGTTCCCCAGCACCTGACGCAGACCTTGTTTGGCCGGGCGACGTCTGAGCCGGCATGTCATTCATTTTATTGTCTCTCATCATCATTGTATGAGGTAGGCATAGCGTGAAGGATCTTGCCCAAGGACCCACACTGGATGGTGTTATGTGCTCATTTTTGCCCCA